CTTTCCCACGACACCAGGGTCCGTTGGCTGTAGCTGTAGGCTCACCGTTTTAATAATGCAGACGGTGCCAACATCTGCCTCACTTTCCTCCCCATCAAAGATGACGTCAGGTCCCACTGGCAGGCGACTGAGCGCATCGGCATTCCCGTGGGCCGACGTCTTTCTATATTCTATTGAGTAGTCGTACTGGCTAAGCAACAAAGCCCAGCGACCCAAACGATTGGCCGTCAGCATTGGCGTTTCTTTGGTTGGCCCGAACAGCGCTAGCAACGGCTTATGGTCTGTAACCAAAACAAAATTTCGACCGTACAGAAACTGGTGAAACTTCTTTAGCGCGAAAATGACAGCTAGTGCTTCCTTCTTAACTTGGCTATAGCGGCGCTGTGCATCTGTCAGCGTCTTGGATACGTTAGCAATTGGGCGCTCACTGCCGTCACGATAGCGGTGAAACAACACTGCTCCAATGCCAACTTCTGATGCATCGCATGACACCCCAATCGGCAGGGATGGGTCAAAATGCGCCAGCACTGAATCCGTGCAAAGCACCTGTTTCAGCTGCTGAAAAGTCGCTTGCTCACTACTGCCCCAGTTCCATGGTATGTCCTTCTTGGTCAGTCGATAGAGAGGCTCGGTGAGAGTGGCTAAGTTAGGGAGAAACTTGCCATAGAACTGCACCGACCCCAAGAATGAACGCAGGCCGGAAACGTTTTCCGGTGGCGGCATCTTGATAACCGCGTTGACCTTAGCCCCCTTCTCAATCCCCTTTTTGGAAAGCTTGTGGCCCAGGTACTCAACTGCGGGTTGAGCGAATGAGCACTTCTCCATGCGACATCGTAGCCCTTTCTCTTCTAAGCGTTGAAGCAATGCGCGTAGATTTTGGAGATGCTCTTGAGCATTGGCACCGCTGACGAGAAAGTCGTCCAGGTAGACTGCCACTCCCTGTAGATCACTGGTGAGCTGTTCCATGATCTCTTGGAAATAACCTGGTGCCGAACTGATGCCGAACGGCAGCCGAAGTTGGAGCAGTACGCCTTGGTGTGTACTGAGGGCTAGCCTTTTCTGGCTTTCAGGAGCGAGCTTTATCTGGTTGTAAGCATCCGCCAGGTCGAGTTTAGTGAAACCGTGTCCTCCACCCAGTTTCCTCATGAGATCCTCGGGGAGAGGCATAGGGTGTCGGTGGGTATCTAATTGTGGGTTTACCGTAACAGAGTAATCCCCACAGACTCGTAGCTTCGGTTTCTGCTCGCCAGGTGGCCCCACCTTCCTGATCGGAACGACGGGTGTGCCACTATCATTGAATTGTGCGGGCTTCCACACACCCCTCCTGATGCCGGCATCATATGCTTGTGTCAGATCCTCTTGAATTGCGTACGGGACTGGCCGCGGCCTGCAGAATACGGGCCTCGCATCCCGCTTGAACTTGATCTCTAATTCAAAGTCCTTCAAGCATCCGAGCTCCCGTTTGAATACCTCCGGATGCTCATCACAAACCTGCTGGCAGGCTGTCTGTAAAGACCGATCTGGATGCAGATCGTTCGATATGGTATGCACGGTACCATCAGTTGAAGAGCGGCGATGAAAAAAAACATTAATGTCTATTCCCATTTCATGTATGGCGCTACGACCTAACAGGTTGAGCGCTGGGAACTTCGTCACCGTGAACTCTATGTTCCGCGCTTCGGAGTTTTCTTGGTGGTCCAGCTTGGCATTCGCTGTAAACGTGCCCATGACCGTCAGCTGATTTCCTGTAGCTCCCTTGTATTGGCTTGTTGGCTGCTGTAGGCATGGCTTCCCCAGCTTTACCCAGACGTCCCCCGAGCAAAAGTTGTCTCCCGCACCAGTGTCAATCTCAAAATTAAACTTCTTTCCGTTCAGAGAGATGGGTTG